TGAGGGTTGCGATCCCGTTGCCGGTCCCGGTCCGGTACGGGCGCAACACTGAGGGTTGCGATCCATTGCCGGTCACGAAAAAAGACAAAAAGGAAAAAAAAAAAAAAAACAGTTACAGTGGGAATTAAGCTTCTAATGTATGAACTTTGGGGACACAATCAATGCACAACAATGCTTATAACCATTTTAAATAAATAGTATCACATTGTATGTATTGTTTTGTAACTTTTTTCCCCCACTTACATTATTACACTATGGAGAATAAGTATATAGAGATCTACCTCATTCTTTCCTTTATATAGATGTCCTACCATCCTGTTCACTACTGATGAAGGTATCCTTTATTTATTTATATTTTTAAAAAATTTAAACTAGATTTTTTTTCCTATACAATAATTCCAATCTGTAAGGCTTGTGTTGTTATAAATCTTACAAACATATAGAAAAGTAATATAGAGCATATTAAAAAATATTTCATTCAGAGTTCATTCTTTCTGAGAAAGCAGTCTAATTAAAATCTATTTTTATGGCGAGGTTGCGGAGAAAAAGGAACTCTCATACATTGTTGGTGGGACTGCAAAATGGTGCAGCCTCTATGGAAAATGGTATGGAGGTTCCTCAAACAATTGCAGATACATCTACCATATGACCCAGCTATCCCACTGCTGGGAATATATCCAAAATTTAAAGGAAAAATAAATAAATAAATAAATTACTGGGAAAAAAATCTATTTTTAAAAAATATTCATGGGCTGACCTGTGGCTCACTCGGGAGAGTGCGGTGCTGATAACACCAAGGCCACAGGTTCGGATCCCATACAGGGATGGTCGGTTGGCTCACTAGGTGAGTGTGGTGCTGACAACACCAAGTCAAGGGTTAAGATCCCCTTACCGGTCATCTTTTTTAAAAAAAATTAAAATTAAAAAAAAATTAAAAAATATTCAGGACAAGCCAGAGTTGAGAAAATATCTAATAATGGCTGCTACTACTGACAATATCTTCCATATAAATTCATTTACAAATATTTATTAAGCACTTTCCATAGTCAGACACTATTCTTGGCACTGGGGACAATAAAATGAACAAGACAAACAAGGTTCATTCCCCTCATGGACTATAAAAAACTGGACAATTTCAGATAATAAATGCTATGAAGAAAATGGTGACTTACAAGGGGCTCCTTATGGGGTGGTCAAGGAAGTCCTTTCTGAAAAGACATTTGAGCTGCAATGTACATATATTAATTTCTTCCTCACACCAACCCTGTGATATAAGCATTATTATTCCTATTTTATAGGGGAGGAAATTGGGACTGAGAGACTTTAAATAGTTGGCCTAAGGTCTCTTGGTTGGTATACGACAGTTAGAATTTAAACTCTAATATTTAACATTTACATAGTTTGGGCTCTGCACCATGCTAGACATTTTACATGCATTAGTTCAGTTAGTTCTCATAGTTCTCACCAACCCTATGAGCTAGACGTTATCCCTAATTTACAGAAATGGATGAAAAGGCTCAGAGAATTTAACTCACTTACCCAAGTTTACACTGCTAATAAGGACTTAAATCCAAGGCTAACTCCAAAATCCATGCTCTTTCCACTTCACTTGAGCTTTATACATGGGTATTATGATACCTCTGTCACTTTTTTTTTTTTATTTTTTTTAAGATGACCGGTAAGGGGATCTTAACCCTTGACTTGGTGTTGTCAGCACTACGTTCGCCCAAGTGAGCTAACTGGTCATCCCTATATAAGGATCCGAACCTGTGGCCTTGGTGTTATCAGCACCGCACTCTCCTGAGTGAGCCATGGGCCAGCCCTTCTGTCACCTTTTCAGAAGCCTTTTTGACTCAGTGGGATGGACTGCCAAATTTTGGACTGGTGACATGCTTAGCCCACCCCCTCATATGATACTTGAAGTAACAGGTGTCACTGTCTAATTCTGTAGAATACACTTGCCTAATGTTATGACAGGAAGCCCTGGGGGGCCCTTCCCCCTACTTACTTTTCTCTTTTCCTCTTTCCTAGGTGCCTCCCTCAACTGTGGAGTACCTCAAGAAACAAGGCATTGATGTGCGGGTCCTCCAGACAGAGCAGGCCGTGAAGGAGTATAATGCCTTGGTTGCCCAGGGGGTCAGGGTGGGAGGCGTCTTCCATTCCACCTGCTGATGAAGTCTTAAGAGGATAATAAATCACTAAGCAATGATGCCTGTGACTATCACTCTTAACTGTTCTCCACACCAGCCTCCCCCGAGCATTGTTGAACACCTGCTCATGCCAGGTACTGTGCCAGGCTCTTGGGATGCATGAATGAGGCAAGGTCCCTGTCCCTGGGGGTGCTAAAAATCAGAAGATGAGACAGGTGTTTACCAAAGTTTAATAATGTAGTAAGTGTTAGGCTGGAAGTATGAGAAACTTCAAACAAAAATAAAGCTGTGCCTTGAAAGCTAAAGAAAAGTTTCAGCGCATTAAAATCACATTGCAGTTGATGCTTTGGAATGTTTATCCACCAATCCAAATAATATTTTTTGAGCACCTTATATGCCAGGCACTGCTCGAGTTTCCAGAGAAACGGCAATAAAAGCCTTGTTTTCGTGAAGCTTGTATTCAAGTGGGGAAAATAAACAAGTAAACAAATATATACCTAATGTAGGTAGAATCTGTTATGAAGAAAAATAAAACAGGATAAGACAGGGCTATTTCAGATATGTGGTCAGGGAAGGTCTCTGTGAACAGAGCCTTGAATGAAGTGAGGGAGTAACAGTAACAGTAGAGGGAGTATGCCCTGAGAGTTGGGTTCAAGGCAGGCTGTTCTACTAACTAACCCTCAGCCAGACAGTTCTCTCTGGGCATCAGTTTCCCTGATTATAAAATGTTGGGACTAGACTAGATGCTCTTAAGGTCCCCACTGGCTCAGGTAGTTTGTGTTCTAAGAAAGGCCTCTGGGAAGCCCTAGAATAAACTGAGAGAAGTATAAGTTATCAGCATCACCTTAGTTTTTTCTTTTTTTTCTTTTCCTCTTTAAAGAGCTCTGAGTATGTGTTTTGGTGTCAAATAGACTTGCCTTTGAACTGCAGCAGCTTTCTGCCACTCACTGGGCATTTATTTAATCTCTCAGAGTTTCACCATCTCATCTTTCAGATAGGGATAATATTAGTACCTGGAGTCATTGTAGGTATTAAATGAGGTAATTCATAGAAAGTCTTAGCTCACACCTGGCATGTAGTAGAAACCATTGCTGTCATCGTTCTGTTAATGGGACTACTGTGTAAAGTCAACTAGTTTCATTGAACAGTTTTTAATAAGCAGCTTATTATTTCATGGATTCATAGAACGTTGGAGTCCAAAGGGACTATCTTACTCATTTACTCAGTAATTCTCTTTCATTTCTTATGACCAGTTATTGTTGGGCCCTGGAGGTACAAAGATGAGAAAGTTATAGTTCCTGCCCTCAGGACTTACGTGGGACAGACAAACAAATAAACAGACAGTAATGATACAGTGTATTCATATTATCATATTACAAGGTCCAGTGGTGGCAAAAAGACCAATATATCCTATCAGGATGGAAGGAAAATCAGAGAAGACATCACTAAGGAGATGACAGTAAAGAGTCTTAATGAGATGTTCTTTAATCCATTGTATACACATTTCCTTGGCAATACTCTTTTAACTAGACATTTACTAGGTATGGTATTTGTCACAGCCATAACTAAATAAAATTGCTCCATCCCAGCCGTTGTTGCAGTACCAGAAAGCTAATTTTTGCTCCACATGATCCTGCTACCTGATTGGCCCAGTTAGGCATCTGACCTAAGGGGAGACAATCCAGAGTTAAGATGTGGCTTGGCAGGAAATATGAGCTAAGACCATCAGAATGGAAAGGGAAGGGTTTTTTCCAAGTTCACCCAGCAAGTACGTGGCAGAGCCAAGATTAGAACCGAACATTGTGTCTTGATCTCTTTCTAGCATATACCTCCTTGCTCCCCAGAGGCTCACAGGAATGAGACCCTCACAGACCTGACACCCAGCATAGAAGTCTGGAGAGGTCCTGCTTAGTACTCTTTCTGCAGCTCTTCCTACATGTCAGATGACAGGATCTTTCTAGATCTGTTCTACCAGCCTGAAAATGAGGCCCAGTCCTGAGGGATGTTTGATAGAACAGACTATTTTTCTATTAATGCGATCTTTTTGGGGGTCAAATGTAAGGTGAGACAGCTCCAGTAGGTGTTCAACTAGGTGTGGGTGTAATCATTGTTCTTAAGTGAGTTGTCCCCACATTAAAGAGAAATTAGTACAAACTTCATAGAGACCAAAGTATCTGTCAGTGAGGTTACTAAACCTCTTATAAAACCTGCTGATAAATAGCTCCTACTTCTGAATCTGGTCCACATGGTCAATGCTAGAAATATTCAGAGCCTAGAAAGAAGGCTCATTTTTCCATATGACACTCTGATTAGTACCTCATCTCAATAATTAAATCCTTTGATTCAATTTGTAGGTAGCACAGCCCTCAATCTGCCCACACTTAATTGCTGCTAGCCTGAGTGGTTCCTAAGACAAGAAGTCTGCCAAGAGCTAAGTGTGAACCTCTCCATAATTCTGTTTGCTGAACTTAATCATGTTAAAGCCAAATATAAAGTCCTTTCAGAAACTTGAATCTCAGGGCTTGCTTTCACAGAGACGCCATGGTACTAAGTTTGCTCTGGCTTCATATACTCATTCATTTGTTCCTTGCCTGGTATGTGCCAGGAGTTACACTGTGGATACAACAGTACAGACATTCTTACTGTCCAGGTACTCACAGATTAGTTGGAAGAAATAGACATGTAAATGTACAATGATGATGTAAAAGTTGCAAACTGGCACAAATCTACCTGGAGACGTGTTTAGTTTGTCTCAGTAATTTTAACATTCACTTTAGTTACCAAGATTTTTAAATTGGGTATTTTTTACATGCAAATGCAGATTTCTGGCTTTTCTGGAAGAATTGGGATATCTGACAACTATGCCCACGCCTATAGATAAAAATAATTAAGTGGAATAGAATAGCAACTGCCATCTTCTGACAGAGAATGTGCTCTGATTCTTTAGTCTCCATTATCTTCCTTTTGGCCACTTTATTCTTTTACTTTTCCTGCTTACCTTCTACACAGATGGAATAGTAAAAAAAAAAAGTTTGGGCCATGAGTATAAACCTGGAGAAGAAGCAAAGGCATGAAGCCTTGGGCCAGTAGTGATCCACTTAAAGAGACTTGAGCAGAGGAATGGTGTGACCAGATCTGGATTTTTGAAAGACTACTCTGACAGCTGATTGAAGAATGGAATGAAGGGGACAAGACTGGAGGCAAGGAGATCAAAAGACTAATGCCATACTTCAGGAGAAACGATGATGTTTGCATCAGGATAGAAACAGTTGAGTATAATAAGAGGACTGAGTAAAAGAAACATTTAAGGAAGCAGAATCTAAAGGACCTGATGGCTGCTTTTCTATGAGGGACGACAGAGTCCAATGTGACAGGCAGGTTTCTGGCTCTGACTGCTGGGTAAAAGCTAAACCACTTACTTAGAACAAAAGACCACTGTGATGAAAACTGCATTGGATGAAGAATCAGGAGGCATGGGTACCAGCCTTAGCTTCATCACTAACTCGGTCTCTGGGCTTACACATTCACTTGTAAATAAAGGTACCACACTGCAGTGCTCTTCACACTCCCTTCCAGGCCTTTGTATTATACGGTCATTTTTTTACTTCAGTGAAAAAGTGTGGAATGAGATACAGAAACCTGAGAATTCAGGGTAAAAGGACTTGGAAGGGTTGAGCCCACCCCCTCATATGATACTTGAATTCCTTAGTAGCAAACTTGTCAGAGGCTTGTTCAACTTCTGCTCAAACACATCCAGCATGGAGAATTCCATATTTCATAGTACAGCACGTTCAATTCTTATGCAGCTTTCAAAAATGTATTGATACTAAACCAAAATCTGCCCCTTAGTGTATGTCTATCTTGGGTGGAAAAAGAACCCTATTTAGGGTTTTAAGATAGGAATGAAGTGCTAATTTTGTGCCATAGGAGACATATACTACCTCAAAGCCTTCATTTCCCCACCTGTAAAATGGGGGATAACCTGGAAGGATTTTTATAAAAGAGGCACTGAATCTGAAAAGTACCCAGCATATTCTACCCTTTGAAGGCTTTCTATAGTTAAAGTATGACGGGCTCAGTCAGCAAAGCAGCCTGTCTTAGTGTTCTCATCTATCTCCAGCCCAACCATCGCCATAGGTGTTCATGTCACGGCCATGGTATGATTCAGCCTGCTTCAAGCTTCACTTTATGTCTAAGGCAGGCACCTGTTTCAGGGCATCTTGGTGTTGACACACGAGAGCCCATTGATGGCACATCCTTAAGATGAAACCAGAAGAGTACACAAGAAAAGTCAGCTCCCTGGAGATAAGCTTTCTTCCCCTAGTCCCTTGATAGTAGTTATGACCTCCTAGAGCCAGACTGCCTAGGTTCGAATCCCAGATCTATCATTTACTAGATGTGTGGCCCAGGTCAGTTATTTAATCTCTCTGAACTTCAACTGCTTTGTTTATAAAATGGAGATAACAGTACCTACTTCTGTGTGTTGTAAGGGCTAATTAAGTTAATTAATGTAAAGGGCTTACAACATTCCCAAGCACACAGTAAGTATATTAAACCAAAAGTCAATACATGCCTGAATTTCAATGCCAGCTCCACCTGAGTAACTATATGATCTTGCTATTATTTTTATAAGGTCTCCAAGTACCAAATACTATCAAGACTGGCTGCAGAATCAGATTCTACCAAGCATTATTTAATCCACCCAATCAACAATCACTGAAGAAGAATTATCTTTGTTTTATAGATGAAGACAGTGAGGCATAGAGAGTTAAAGATTTGAAGGATCTTTCCCATATACTTCCCCTGAAGCAGCAGCTTAGGCAATTGCAATCTTCTTGGATTTGAATACAGGCTTTGGGCCGGCCCGGTGGCACACTGGAGAGTGCGCCGCCTATGAGTGCGGCGGCGCTCCCGCCGAGGGTTCGGATCCCATGTGGAGACCGGTTCCCGCTCACTGGTTGAGCGCGGTGCGGGCGCAACACCGAGGGTTGTGATCCCATTGCCGGTCCCCGGTGCAGGCGCGACACCGAGGGTTGCGATCCTGTTACCGGTCAGTAAAA